GATTCTAGCCTAGAGTTAGTTAGCATCTCATCGAAATCCTCCATTGATGTTGCGAGGTTAAAATTATGGGATTCCTGCAGTTGCTCAAAGTGAGTTAGCATCACATTTTGTGTTTCCACAAAGCCTTTCATCATCATAATTTCTAGCCTAGAGCGATTTAGTGCCACAGTCATATCCTCCATTAATGTTTCGAGAGTGGAATTTTGGGACTCTTATGGCTCCTCAAAATATTGGGCGTGATGATTGTAGAGGAAGTTTGGTTGAGGATAAGTTAGCATCGCATTGTAATCCTCCAGTAATATTTCGAGATCAGATTTATGGAATTCTTGCGACTCCTCAAAATGTTGGGATTGGTTGTTGTAGATGTAATTTGAGAGAGATTGAGTTAGTGAAGCATTGAAATCTTCCATAAGTATTTCGAGGTTGGATTTATGGTATTCTTGTGAATCCTCAAAATACTGAGAATGGGAGTTGTAGAAAAAATTTGGGTGATACATAGTAATTAAAGTAAGAGTCCCTTAGTCTATACGTTCAACAACGGAAATAACAATTTTGACTGTAAGTCCCCAACAACGATGCCAAAAACTTGATCCGTCTGCAAGTGCACGAAAATATCGAAGTAATATAAAAGATTGTCAAACCCACAAACACCAATGTCAACCTACTGTAATTTATTGTCGCTTTGTAAAGTTAAAGCTAATGAATGACTAATTTAGGGAAAAATAAGAACTAAAAGTGAAATAAAATAAGATTAAGGAAATATATATATATATATATATATATATATATATATATATATATATATATATATATATATATATATATATATATATATATATATATATATATATATATATATATATATATATATATATATATATATATATATATATATATATATATATATAAAGAGAAACTGGAATGTGTATTCCGCGTACCTCTGAGACTCTGTAACTCGTTGGCTTATACTGATGTTAAAAATGTGTTTAGTAGAAAATATCAATTTAAAAACTGAACCTCACACTCACATGATTTTGAATAAAATCGTATTCCTTAATCATGATATTTTGCTCTCGCTCGCCCATTTTAATTAAGGAATGCATTTTGAAAATTGAACAAGTTCTAATTAATTCTAAAACGCTCTCGTTGTGTTTAAGATTAATTCCTAGTTTCTACTATCCGGTATGGCCCCCACGCTCTTGCAGTGCCAACTTGAACCTTAGTTAATTTCCCACTCTCGTGGCGAAATCGTGTTAAGTAACCTCTCACTCTCGTGACAAAACTATTTAAATTAAGTTTTAAAAAAAACGAAATTGAATTTTCAAACAAATAATTAAGCCAACTTATTACTGAGTTCCGTCGGGAACGACGATCCTCACATACCGGACTCAAAACTATTTAGTTGGAAATACTTAAAGAAACAAACATGCAATTATAATTATTAACCATGAACATAGCCATATTTAGATTTGTAATAATAAAATAATATTATAAGAACAAGAAACTAAAACAATTGCAAATAAATAAACCTAGAATAAAACTTGAATACAATAAATCTTAAAACTTGAATAGAGCTTTAAAATAATGTCAGCAAGATTGATCCAAGCGTTACAAATTATAGGCCTAAACTAATGGTGTGATAGTTCCTTAATGTGAGAAGCTACCACTTTTACATGAGTAATATGCTGCCTAAAACTATGAAGCGCTTCCGCGTACAAAACTTGGATCCTCAAAAAGGAATGCTCGACCTTTTTTATAGTTAAAACTCATGGAAGTTACTTTGTGATTCATGTGGCAAGTAGTGGAGATCATGGAGAAAGTGGAGAAAGAAGTGGAAAATGGGAAGTTGAAAAGATAATGGGGTTATAACGGGAAGTTGGGCTTCATGAGTGGTTACATGAAGAAACGTGGAGAAGACTTCATATGTAACTGAAAGAAAGAAAGTGACGTGTGCGTTGTGGTGAGTGGCACGTATTGCATTACATGGGGCACGTATTTTTGGTCTGTGCCGACCGTCATGCTTTGTGTGCCGAGGGGCACACATCCAAACTTTGTACCGACCGTTAGAAAGCTGTGACGACCGTCATAGACTTCTGATATAGATTCTTCTGCATTTTTCTGCAAATTTGACTCTTTTCTTCTTCATTTCTTCCTCTTTCTTAACGTAAGTCATGTGGGATAAAAATACTTGAAACATACTTAAAATGTAAGCATAATGCAACATAATTAACGAAAAATGGAAATTTTATTTATGTTAATCGACTCGAATATACGATATGATTTCGTGTATCAGTTATCAATACGCAAGCCAGTAAGAACGTGGAGATGTTCAAAGTCGTTTAGGACATCGCTCCACAAAGCCCCAATATGGGTTAGTAACCGTCGACAGTTACATACTTAGGATTATATTTAAGAAAATGTTTGTATTTATGTCAGAGGTCGTACTTCTTCATATTTAGAACATTACACTCAAAGTAACCGCATCTAAGAGAGAAACCAGTTCAGACTTAACATTGTATGAATGCTTCCACATTTAAATCCATAGTAATTTCCAGTTTTTTTACTTTAATTTACAAGTCTTGTCATTTACTTTGTTTAATTTGTAATTATCTTTCACTTTTTCTATTTTAACTGATATCAACCAGTTTCAACCCAAAAATACTCAAAACACTAAGTCTAAGATTATTATAGTCGATCCTGCAAGTAACCTTTAATAAGAGGCTAACGATTGTTTTGTGGAGAAACACAAATACACTTGAACAAAATGTCGAGGATTTGAAACCACCCAACACAAATGATATGATTAGTGGAATTAGATGTTGGAGAAATTTGCAATGGGAAAAAGTTTACGAGAAACAGTATCTTGAAAGATTAGCACACACCCTCTCATACACACTTGCAATTATAAGCACGGTAGGAGACGTATTGAATAATTTAATAGAATCAATATGAGTCCAATATATATCTCTTACTGTTACTTCATCCTCACATCTCTGGTGCCTACAAACGTAGTTGTTATCATCTAAAAGCTTCAAGAGTTATTGCATTTCAGTTTGATCCTCTCTAAGTGCCAATTTTGTTTGGTAGCGCTGATTGTAAACTTGTCTGATCTTTGAAATATTCTCGGGTCTTTTTCGCTTCAACGTGTCAAGTATGTTTTTTGGAGCGACCAAGTTTAGTGTCATCTCAGACACACATTCCTTCTCTTCCTCTAAGAGGCGACATGCACTTGAATGACCGACTAATTTTATACTTAAATCATGATTATGTAAACCACTTATGACATTGAATCTCCAATTATTATTTGCCAATTGATACCCACGTAACTTAAATGGACACCGGTATTTTCTTGAACCAGTATCATCTCTTTTGAAATTCTTGATAGGCCGCCTATATATCTCACTTCTTTCACATGTCAATATCACAAATGCAGGTCGTTTATCCGAACTACTATTGGACCTTCCTATCACAACACCAAAGCCTTGTTTGGTGACCTCCGTACGAATTCACTACATCACGACATCTCGAGATTCATATTCTTGTTCATTTGTAAAATGCTTCCGTACATCAAACACCTTGATAACAATAGGCGAAACACATTGAGACGCAATAGGAGAAACACCTTGGAAAAGAATAGGCGTGACACCTTGAGACACACATCAGGCGAAACACCAAGAGACACAGTAGCTTTGAGAATATTATTGGGATGCACCATATCTAATATGTAAAAACAGATTAAACTAAGAAATATCATAGGTAAATAAGAAAACTGAAGTTACTGGAAATAGCTGTTACAGTAACCGCAAGCACATTTCCGATTAAGTTCATTTGTAAACCGTAGATATATTTCCGATATTAACGTGACATTTTTTCCACAAAAAGAACAAATTAATGTGGTTAATGTAGATTGAAAAGAGAATGTTTTACCTTAAATTGAGTTTCCTTTAGCTCCTTTTGATATAATGCACCACAAGAATGTTGATTTTGAGTGAAAAATGAGATTGAGAATGTAAAAGTTTTTGGGAGTATTTTGGTCATTTTTTGAAATGAACATGATCAACATACCCCATGGACCGTGGTATTTTAAGCTTTTGGTTTCTGAGAATAAACTGGAAATGTATATCCGATTTATAGGTGACAATATTTTTGGTTTTTTCCGTACAAATTTCCCGAATGTTTATCTCTAATTTCTACCGGATATATTTCCGATATATTTCTTATATTAAACAAGGGTGTAACGAAATTTTACCTGGTTTAATGAGGATTAGATGCGTCTCAAAAATGCATTTATAAAGGGTATTTTTGGTTATTCATAAGTTTTTTTTCTTCTATATAAGATACCATAAGAAATTTTCTAAATTATGGATCAATTAAGCCCCAAAACTATTTGGTCTTAGAGCCCGTCTTTGTTCATGGAGAAAACTGCATTGTGGACTTCTTGTCTATAGGGCATCATTGTGAGAAGTTTGTTTATGTTATCAGTTACTAAGGTAGGTATGACTTCCTCAATGAGTGAAGTGAGAGATCACCTGGTCTACAATCTGGCTTATGATACAATTATTAACTCTGGGAGGATTTTTTTTGTAAGCTTGTTTGATTTTGACAATTCTATTGAAGAAAGCGGTGTTTTTATCTCCCTCAACATTCCACCTGACTCCAGCTTTTTCTTGCGAAATAGTTTATTCAATGTTGAGAGCTTTTTATAACTCAATCTTAGTAACTTCTCTTAGAATTCGCATAGAGGGACCAAAGACTTGAAGAAAAATATAGTCTATTTATTAGCAATACATATCATTTTTCACTCAATATTAACGTCTTTAATTTCCCTATGAAATGGAATTCTGGTACACAACACTTCTAACTCTAACTCTATCTTTATTACTAAAGCTTGAATACATCATTTAAAATTTTCAAGAAATGATGATAATTTGATATACCTCTAAATTTTATTTTGATTATTATGGAATCCTTGAACAGAAAAATACATTAGTAAAAAGTTCTCAGGGTGAACCAATTCCCTTCTTAATGAGAATATCATACACCCTGTCAACTTTCAAGGCATCCATGTTGAACATTTGATGAGCATCGGATTTCGAAGTCACGTTGCCGGCAATCATTTGCATAGACAGATGCTGTTGCATCTTTAGATATGTGGCCGGAGGCAACTTTAGTTCACAACAAAGATGTTTCTCCTGACAAGGAAATTAAAGCCGACAATGTCAAAAAACAAATTAAGAAGCGATGCACAGGTTTAAGATGGAAATTCGAGAAATACGGAATCTTACAGGTTCGGAAAGTAAATCTGCTCCATAGTATCCTGCTAGATCCATTTCATTGACAGGCCTTGTACCAGCAGAGTCTGGAGACATTAATGCATTTGGAACGCCGTGATTATTTAGGCCGACGTGAGCATTTTCTCTTGCCCTACGAGCATTTTCGTCAGCTTCCTTTCTTCTCTTATGTGCCAGATATCTATCTGCTTCGGCTGTAGTGCGGCAACCAGCAGCCCGGGCTTCCTGCAGAAGCATATTCAATAAATGTCAGACTTAATGTTGATTTGTTTGATTCAGGCGGAGCAGTTTGAGCGTCACAGAATCAATATCAAAAGCTAAATGAAGCATCCATTAAAAATATGAATGTACAGATACAAATATGTGAATGTATAAATAAAAAGTTTCCATTTTCCAAGGAGAGAAAAAAAAGTGAATTTACATAACAGTTTAATGCTATCTATGTCACAAACCTTAAGCTCCTGAATTCTTTTAAGAGTTCTGTGTTCAGTGATAATGGTTGTAAGTAATTCATTGTGATCTTCCTTTGTATGAAAGCGCATGAATTTGTCATATTTCCGACATATTGCCTTTTCCTCGGGTGTGAAATCCTTCTCAATTGGATTTGGATATAGCAAATTTCTTTCAAGTATGAATTCCTTCCTGCGCTTTCTTTCATCAAGCCTGCAACGTATTTCAATGTAGATGTGGATGTAAGCAATACCTTCAAATATCATTACTGTAAAAGATTTCGATTGTAGGTGACTCAGGAAAAGAAACCTTCAAAACTAAAATGGCTGTTTACCTTTTGTAATAGATACGCAACACACGGAGTTTGATCTCCCGCTCGTCCTCAGTGTCAGTGTCCTTAAACTCCATTTCAGCAAGCAGTTGTTCAGCATCATTATCATATTCAGGATCAAATTCCTGTCTTTTCGGATTATAACCACTGATTTCAACCAAAGAAGGGCCGTCATTTCCTGAGGAATTTGGTTTATTTCCTCCGAAATCTGGAGAATCTGTCGATAGAAAAAAAAAACTAGGAAGTTAAAAACAGAACGTAATGCTGTGATTTCCTCAAAGAATAGGCATCGGTTAATTTTAATTAGGACTCAGGTCCAAATATAAAATGCACACCTTCAATTTTAACGATTCCAGGACCACCTTTTCCTCGACCTTTGTTAGATGCCCTCTGGTTAACAGTAGCTGAAGCCTGTGTGCTGACTGAGAGCCCAGAATCTAACTCTGCAATATATAAACAAGATCGAGATTGAAAGAAGATGATAATGAGAAAATTGTTGTATGAGTCTTAGCTATCGACTTATTTCGCTTACCTGGATTCAAATTGGAAGCCAGACAGCTAGTGGAACCATGTTTATGGGAATCTTCCATTCTGAATCAACATTTAGAAGTCAATTAACATGGTATTGAACATGGCAAGAGTAAATGTATACAAATTATGACAGCCTTACTTGACTCTAGACGTAGAAAAGGTTGATTCTTCCTTAATTCTAAGATCCCCCATCGGAAGTCCTGTGCCAATCACAAGTTATCAATAATTGGAAGAAAAAAAATGTGACCAAAAACATAAACCAACCAATCTGGAAAAAAAAATTAGAAGCCATAGATGATTATAAATATATTTTAAGCAATAATATGCAACACATAAATGAACCATAGGCTTTGTTTGAATAAACAGCTTAATAACGAGTTTACATTATAAGCATGATAAGTATTAAGTTAAAGTATTATTTATTTTTTTAATAAAATATAAAATAAAGTCAAACCGTCTTTATATAAGCTATTTTCCTAAGCTATCTAGAACAGCTTATGGAAATAAGATGAAAACGGCTTATGTACATCTTATTAGTTGTTTCCATAAACTCTCTATTGAACAGTTTCCATAAGCCGTGCCTCATTAATTCATTTATGAATATAAATGAGGCATGTCTGATTTATAACAACATGCTATGTAAGTGATATCTATTTTTCCCAAAAACTAGAAACAAGTGAATGTGAAGTTGTGGATTGTGACAAACCTTTCTTGTCATCACCCTGCCCTTTCGCCATGGCGAGTAGTTCTTTTTTGTTCTTCCCAACAACATGAGACATGTCCTGGTAAATAAGAACGGTCAGCGTTTAAAATATCTTTATAAGAACGAATAATATTAAACACTGATTGCAGGTTCATTTGATGCCTATCATACCGGAAGAGGGAAATACGGAGAGTTTAGGTACACATTCTTATAGTGTTCAATGCATGCTTCTTTGTTCTTTGTTCCAACATGCTCAGCGACTTCTGCCCAGTTTCCCATACCATACATTTCAATTCCCTAAAACCAAAAGGTTATTGCAGGTAGGTCAGATACAGATATTAAACATAGATTTCTTCGCGAACACCAAATATAATGCGTTAGAGAGTTAAACAACTAGTCATCACTACTCCTACGCAAAAAATTTAAACGAAGTACCTCTAGAAGCAAGATTTCATCATCTGCATTCCAGTCCGGGCAAATAAGAGGGAAAGACAGATTGTCCTGTCAAATTGAAACAATATTAAATAAACTAACATAAGAAAACAAAGCAATAATAACAACAATGTTGCCAAAACTAGTAGTGATGCAATTCTCTTAACAGCGGTTTGACAGATACACAAGCATCATTACTTTCAAAAATGGCTTTTATTCGACATGTGATAAAAAACAGTATCAGAATAATTACCAATTTAATTTAATTGGCTAATCCTGCAAGCATACTCGGTGATTAACGTTTGTGAATTGCGGAAAGCGGAAGTTCAATTCCGCTATGTAATAATGCTATAACGCCTCTATTTGACAACATTTTATACTAAATAGGGCATTGCAGAATAATAGCTTATTGTCCAAATTCTGCTATGCTATAGCGGGATAGTGCCGCTATAGCGGATATTTAACAACATAGCTTGCAACTTAGCAAAATTACCGCATAAGCTTTCTCTCTATCATAAGGTTTAATTAACAAGATATCGAAGGAAAAGAATTTGAAATTAATGGTTACTGACCATAACCCTGTAAGGGTGATTGCTTTTGTGAGGTGTCACCTCAGCTCCAACAGAAAAGCATTCTATGCATAAATCAAAGTCTGGGCACACGGCACACTTAATACGAATCTTTCCTGTAATATCTTTATTACAGTAATTGCAATGATACAAAGCCCTTTTCCCTTCACTTGCTCCTTGACCTGACTCGCCGAAACACGGAAAACTATTTTCAAACATACAATATCCAAGAATCATAAATCATCAATAGATAGACAATTGAAGCTCCAAATAACTACCACCGCTATAGCCTGTAGTATATTTTATTCTTTACCAAAAATTGGTTTCGTATCTTTAACAAGGTAGTTAAAATCAGGATTTTACCTATGACGATCTTTAACCGAACAAACACTCCACAATTCAAATCAGGATTTCTGTTTCAAACATAACCTTATATCCAAACATACCAAACATAAACACACAAATTCCATATAACACTAAACTTATAGACTATAACACTACAAATATATATAGTCTATTCTACACACACCATCTAAATTTAGCAAACTAAAAACCGCGAAAATAACATATTACAATCTCACAATGCAGTAAAAAATTAACCAATAAATCATGGTGGAAAAATTACCCGCAACACCGGATTCCGAATTATCCCCACTAGAAGCATTCTTCTTTCTCCTTGATCTACACAATCAGTAAAATCAACCACATAAAACACAAAGAAAAAAAAAACACCTAATTATAAGCATCATACACTATAATCACCACAGAAAAAAAAACACCTAATTAAAAGCATCATACAATCTAATCAATCATATACACATTCAGAAGGAAAAAAAATACAAATAATGCAAAATTCAATTACAATTGCATTAACAAACACTGGCATTTTGATACAATAACGAAACAGATGAATAAAAATCAAACCTTTGGCTGGGATCTTCATCGGCATGATGAAAATTCCCACGAGAACGACCCATTGAATTTCAGACTAAAACCCCCAATTGAAGAAAAGGGTAAAAAAAAAATTGATTTTTGTTTATGAAAAATAAAATAAAACCCTAGATATTAATTATAGCTATGATAAATAAAATTGAAATTGAAATTGGAGATTCTGAAATTTTTGAAAGTTTTTAATGGTGATTCTGAAATTTTTTGATTTTTGGTGAAGTAAAAAAGGTGCGACAATCGAGGTCGTTGGAGTTTGAGTTTGTGCAATAGGTCAAACTACGTTGAGTTTGGGTTGTGAAAGGTGTAACTGCTTCTATTTGTAATGGTTTTTTTCACTCATTTTTCATTTAAAATAAATCATGTTTTTTCATTAAAAAATTACAAATGAAAACACATTTAAAATATAAGTAGATTTGACTCAATTTATTGATTTTCGATAGATTCTTGTGATTAATTGTAAATTTTAAAATTTGATGAATAATATCTAATATCTATTTACACGCAGAGGTATTAATATTAAATTAATAAAGAATCCTCATAATACACGTATAAATATTTAACAAATTCGTTATGAGATCAAAGATAAGAAGATGAAAATGTTTCATCGAGATTTCAACAAATTCGTTATAATATTAAAGATAACAAAATAAAAGTTTTTCATCAAAATTTCAACAAAGTCGCTATAATATTAAAGATGCATTAAAATTAATGAATTTTAGTTTTATTAATGGATTACTCATCTAATAAGAAATCGATTCTGCTTAATTAGAAGGCTGAATTGTGATTAATGTAGCTATGATACAAGCATTAAAGATTCTCTATTGTAAATGCATAACAATAAAGAATGAGAAAAAACATTCTCAATGAAAAGAAAGAGAATTCAAGAAAATTGTTAACATTGTTAGAAAACGCAAGAAAAAGAAAATACTCACGTTTCTTCTTGATCCTCCATTGATGATGATGGAAGGAAAGTTTGTGTGATGTTAATGTGAGAGAGAGGGTTATGAGAAGAGTGGTAGAAGAAGATTGAAACAGAGGAAAACAGAGTGAAGAACAGGGGAAGTTTGAGAGTTTGTTTATGTGAAGCAAGAAAAGGAGGAAAATAGTGAGAGGAAATAGTATTGAGTGAGAGAAGTATGATATTTTATTTATCATCAAAATATCTTAAATTAGAGGGAGTTTTTTCTAAAAAAATAAAAATTATTTATTATCGTCGCGTTGAATGAGATTGATTAGAATATGACTTCGAGTATTTTTATTTTTAAGAAAATAATAATTTTAGTAAGTAGAGTTATATAATTCAAGGTTTAAATGTCTATAAAAATAGGGTGATATGAATATATTTAGTGTTAATTTATATTAAAATAAGAGGAAAAAAACTATTTAGAAATATTATAATTTGTATTGGTTTAAATTGTAAATTTGATAAATGTTTTGAAGGTTTTATTTTGTGTCCATGAATATTATTTATAATGTTAATTAAAATAAAATTGTCGTCAATGTGTGTAGTAGACGATAAAGATTAATAGAGAAATTGAGAGAGATGCGCATTAATTTTTCATGATTTACTATCTTATTGAATTATATTTAAATAGAAATTGAGGATTTTTTAGACAGAAATTATGAATTGTTTTCAATTGTAGTTTAAGATACTATAATAGACCATCAACGATTTAGATTCATCAATTTATCTTATTTTTTACTTTAGATTAGAGTCTACAAAATATCGATAATTGTTAATGGATGATAAATAAAGATGAAATAAGCTTACTTAGAAAGAGATTGTGTTATCATAGGTTGTTTCTTTGGATATTCTGGATCATTTTTTAAAGTAGTCATTATTGCTTACGAAACACCTTTGAATTTGAATTTGCCCTATAAGTTCTGCTGAAAGAATTCTCCGACGCTATTATTATTGAACAAATATTTTTTTTCTCAAAAAAATTTGTTCGGTCCTTTTTAAGCAAGTTTGTCTATATTTAATACAATTAAAATTACAGTAAATTTTTTGAAAAAACTTCTAGAACAATAACAATTATTAATAATATTGACATTAATAAAATAAAATGTTAATTATTAAAAAATAAAATATAATGCATTTTATTAATTTTAGATATTAATAAAAATAAAAGATAATTATATTAAATATTTTTTTTAGTTATTAATTTATAAATATCAAAAAAAAATTTATATATATATATATATATATATATATATATATATATATATATATATATATATATATATATATATATATATATATATATATATATATATTGTTGTTAGGAATTGAGATATATGTCATAAACTTGTTGATATTTAATTTAATAATAGTAGTGTTAACTTTTTTTATGCGGTTGATTGACAAAAGAAAATAATTGTTATGGATTGGGGTTGCGTTTAATCTATTGTTGGACAAGCCTAATCCAATACTTTTAGAGGCTCAATAATCCGTTGGGGATCAGGCCTGTACTTGATTCTCCGTTGGATAAGTCCAGTCAAGTACTACTTTGAGGAGGGTCCACTGCAGTGACCCGAATTGCTATAACTGTTGGGAAACACCTTCCACTAGGCATGTCGAGGATCTCCCCTCCACGAGCAAGTCGAGGACATCTCCTCTTATTGTGCGTCGAGGGCTTCTCCCCCACGTCCCCACTAAGAGAACATGGTCAATGATCCTCCAAATATTGCAGAGTCATCCTACTCCCGAAAAGAACGGGTCTTCACCTTCGAGAATCGCTGAGCAGTTGAACTATGATAGAGACCACGTATTGGCCTCCTTTACCCACGTAGGATCCTGGCAGTCTCCATTATGGGCCTGGGAATCTAGTCTAAATGGAGACCTTGGCCCAGAGCTGAGGGCTATAAATACCCTCTTTTATTAGAGGATCGGGTACATTGTTTTCTACTCACTTACACTCTCTACTTGCATCATTGTTTTGGAACTTACTTTGGCATCAGAGCATCTTGCAAGTACCTCCCCCATTCACTTCAACAGTCGTAGGAGTCCAGTGTTGCAGACCATTGAAGATTATCCTGGTCAGGTTCGATCAGTGGTGCCATCTGTGGGAACGCCTTACTTCCCCATCTTATTCTAACTCAAGACCAAAGCAAACTCTTTCAATCTTCTGATCATCATGGTCAATCAGCACAACAAGGACTCCAACTCGACGTTACTGTTTTCGCCCACAGAGAGAACAACAACAACAACAACACTAGAACAACTGGCCACGACCAGGGTGACCCCAGGGATGGACGAACTGCGTCTTCCTCGTCCAGGGAACATCCCCTCGACACACTTCAGTAGGTCGACCAGACTGGAGAATATCAGGAAATCCACGTGCCCGCCAATGTTGATCCCATAATTGTCGCAACCATCAATCAGACTAACTACCTGATTTCCCAGCAGAATGAACACGCTGGAAGGTTGGAGAAGGACCGGTGATCTCGCTCTCCCATAAGTAGACGTCGGGAACCCGAATCTCACAGCCTGTCCCTAAGACAACGAGAGATCTTTTCCCGCTCTCCCCCCGGAGACATCAACGAGATGAGTTCCAAAGCCTTTCTCCTCTTCAAACCGGGCGAGACCCTTAACTAGAGAGACCCCCTCCTGAAATTACCAAGAAGCACGACCACACACCACTGTGCAGGGAACAACGATCCCCCGCCCCTAATAGGAGCAAGGGTAGAGATCAGCCGGAGAAAGTAAGTAGTCGGGCAAGAAATTATATGCGCCGTAGAGGCCCCTATTTTGACTCCTCCCTGTAACACCCCAAATTAATTAAGTTATTTATTTAAATTTTTAATTTGTTATGATGAGTAATTGTGATGATCTTTGTTTTTTTGATGATTATGATGGTTATGTGATGTTCATGTGTTAGAGGGATTATTGAGAATTAAGAAGATTTTGGATAATTTAGAATAATTAGAATAATTGGTTAGAATTATTTTAATTAGTAAAATAGAGTAATACTGGTATTAAAAGGTGATAAGGGCAACGTAGTCATTTGGGAAGAATAAATGAGGACAATGGTGGAAGATTATATTAGGGGTTCAAGGGGTAAGTTTGGTATAAGGAAGGTTTCGAAGTTTTGAATGATCATTCTATGCAATCGTGAGATTTGGAGGAGACGATGAAAAGAAGAGAGAGTTAGGGCAAGAGGCTTTGTGATAGAACACCAAGAGGAATAGATTTTCTGCTAAAATCTAAGGTAAGGGGTGTTTATCATTGTTTTTATAATTGATATAAGGTTTAGATAATTGTAGGTTGTGTTGAATTTTGTTTGAATTTGATATCATGATCATTTTGATGAAATTAGTGATAAATTGATGCTATAATAATGACGAGTGATGTATATGATGTTTACTATGATGTACTCTTGTGATGTTGTGAAACCATAATGATTTAGATGAGTTTTGGGTCTGTATTGTTGTGAAATCATGCAAAAAAATCGGACTGGTGTAGTGCAGATATCGCAGAAGGGAGAATCACATACTGGTTGATAACACGAAGAGTCATAGTATATTCCGCCTGATTTACATAGAGAAAGTTTCCGATTTTCGTTAATTATGCTGCATTATGTTTGTATTTGTAGTATGTTTCAGGTATTTACTTTCTACAAAGCCTACATGAGAAAAGGAAGAAAAATGTTGAAGAAATGAAGAAGAAATGACAGATTAGCATAAAAATGCAGAAGAATCCATATTAGAAGACTGTGACGGTCGTCACAGCTTCCTGAAGGTCAGCACAAAGTTTGGATGTGTGCCCCTCGGCACACGAATCATGACGGTCGTCACAAAGTTTGGATGTGTGCCCCTCGGCACACAAAGCATGACGGTCGGCACAGAGCAAAAATATGTGCCCCACGTAATGTAATACGTGCCACTCGCCACAACGTACAAGTCACTTTCTTTCTTTCAGTTACATAAGAAGTCTTCTCCAGAAATGCATTTCCTCCAGATTTCCCTCCACGCACGGAGAACGGGAATCAAGTAACTGCCGCTATTTTTTCCTCAACAAATTGAATCT